CGTCACTGTTGTGATGGGACATGTCACTGCCACGATTGGACACATCACTGTCGTGACAGGGAATGTCATTGCCCTGCCCCTGTGTACCTACAGAAAACTGCTTCATACGACAGAAGAAGGACAATCCCACCACGGTCAACGAGCGCATCGATCTTGCCTGCAAGCCAGGGGTGGATTATGGTGAGACTCCAGGGACGTGGGGACATGGGGGCACGTGGGAAGGAAACGGAGGATTTATGGGGACAAAATTATGGGGACAAAATTATAGGGGATGTCGTTGGGATGAGGAGGGGGATGTGAAGGGCCACGGAAGGACGTGAGCGGGCACTGGGATGCCAGCGTGGAATAGGGGAGAAATAAAGGGGCAAAAAGGGCCACGAGGAGGAAAAGGGGGGACAGTGGGGTGAGATGGTGACACGGTGACATCCCCCTCCCCAGTGTACAAAGTGAAGGTGGTGGCAACGGAGGAGACGCCGTCCCACGACAACTACATCGTGACCATCCTCTCCGTCATCAAGATGGGTACGAGCAACCTGGGGACATGGGGACAAGGTCACCTGGAGGGACCTGGGAGTGTCACCCAGGGCTGGGGACACCCCAGTGGGTTGGGGACACCCAAGGGTGCGTGGGGACACCACGAGGTTTGATGTCACCCAAAATGGGTTGGGGACACCATGAGGTTTGGTGTCACCCAGGTGGGTTGGGGTCATACAAGAATGCTTGGGGACACCATGAGGTTTGATGTCACCCAGGTGGCTTGGGGACACCCAAAGGTGCTTGGGGACACCGTGAGGTTTGGTGTCACCCAGGTGGGTTGGGGTCACTCAAGGTTGCTTCGGGACTCCACGAGGTTTGGTGTCACCCAAAATGGGTTGGGGACACCATGAGGTTTGGTGTCACCCAAAATGGGTTGGTTTGGTGTCACCCAAAATGGGTTGGGGACACCATGAGGTTTGGTGTCACCCAAAATGGGTTGGAGACACCATGAGGTTTAGTGTCACCCAGGTGGGTTGAGGTCTTACAAGAGTGCTTGGGGACACCACAAGGTTTGGTGTCACTCAAAATGGGTTGGGGACACCATGAGGTTTGGTGTCACCCAAAATGGGTTGGGGACACCCAAGGGTGCTTGGGGACACCACGAGGTTTGGTGTCACCCAAAATGGGTTTGGGACACCATGAGGTTTGATGTCACCCAGGTGGGTTGGGGTCACTCAAGGGTGCTTCAGGACACCACGAGGTTTGGTGTCACCCAAAAAGGGTTGGGGACACCGTGAGGTTTGTTGTCACCCAAAATGGGTTGGGGACACCCAAGGGTGCTTGGGGACACCGTGAGATTTGGTGTCACCCTAAATGGGTTGGGGACACCATGAGGTTTAGTGTCACCCAGGTGGGTTGGGGTCATACAAGAGTGCTTGGGGACACCACAAGGTTTGGTGT